ATTTAGGTGTTCTTCGCTAGTTTTGGTGAGTCCGTTTCTTTCTCTCCAGCCAGGTGATTTTGGGGATTAGGTTTCATTCGGCTTTCGTCCCCAAAGCTGCTACGCGTTTTGGGTGTTCTCCTCTAGTTTTTTGGTGAGACCATTTCGTTCTCTCCAGCTGTGATTTTTCCTGCTTCTATTTGATTGTTGCTTCGGTGCTCGAGAATCGGTTTATGTATGAATTAGTTTCATAGTGTTGAGTTAATGTGTGGGGTTCTAGTTTACTTCTGGAGTCAGTTTGCTATAGTTCAATCTACTTGCAAGTTGTTTGTGTTAAAGCCTTAGTGTAATTATCTATTGCTCGCTTGTTATTATACAGTCTGTGGAAGAATGTTTTAGGTACTTTTGGAATCTGTTTCTTTTGGCGGATAGTGGGTTTCTATGGTGAGGTTCTGAGTGTGTATATTACACAAAAGAGGAGTCAAGTTGATTTTAGGTTTAGATCTTTAACTGATGGTGGTTATGATAGAGAGGTTCTCATGGATTTAGCATCTTCAGATTGTTTGAGTTTGGTGCGTGACTATCAGGGGTTTGTAGAGGTTTAAGGCTTTGGTTATGAGGTTTCGTCTTGGTTTTTAGTGGAGCTGGAGCAGTTTTATAAATAGCATTTTAGTGTAAGGATTTTAGTAGTTTTGTTTTTTTGTTAGTCTTTTTTGCGGTGGCTAGTTTTTTTGGTTGACAAGCTGGTTTCTGGTGGTTTTTTTCATTTTCCCGTTTCTATTTGGTGGGTGTGGGTGTCCTGTGGCCTGTGCTTTGGTGGGTGGTGGCGTTATTGTGTTTTGGAATTTGCCATGTTCATTTGTGTGTTGTTGCTACATCTATCTTATGTTTGCTTTGGCTAGTTATATGTTTCCTTGGTGTTGCTTATCGTTGTCAACCTATGTCCGCTCTTGTGTTTGTGTAATGCTTTGTGTGCTCATGGATGGCTCTTCGACCGGTGGTGGAGCGGTGAATACAGCAGTAGTCGGTGAAGAGATGATTCCTAGATGTAGGAGGGATCTGCTACAGATGTTGGTTTCGAGGTAAACTTTATTGATGAAAGTTTCAATGTAACAATGATTAAAAAGTGAATATGGTGGCCTGAATTGCTGGTATGCACATGTTGTTCATGTAGTGGGAAATGAGGTGGCTGTCGGAAATTGTTTATTCATTGTGCCCATAGTGTCAAATTATGGGATTTTTTAATCTGTTGGGTGGATGTTAGCTTTTGATCAGTTGGTTTTATAGAGAGCCAGCCTTTTCGAATTATCCAATAGTTTAAGTTTGTTTGTTGGGAGATGTGTTCTAATAAAATTCTGCTAGTTATTATTGGCTATTTTTCTTAAGGCTGCATTGTTCTTTAGAGTTTTGAGCTTCCTGTCCTTATTTCTTCATTGGAACAGTTTCAGCAAGTGTGGCTCTCCATGACTCAGGGATAGTCTTCGTCCAAGCTCTGGTAGCGAGTGTTGTTTTGTTTGATGTGTTGGGTTAGAGTTTGATTTGTGTGTTGTCACAGCTTTGTGTTTTTTCTGATTATTACCACATCAAGGCACACTCTTTTCCTCCACTTAAGATTAGGGAGGTTTTTTAATGAGGTCTTTGAGGTGGTGTACTTTGTAACCTTTCTTAATACAAAGTACCCTCTTTCAAAAAATAATTAGATTTTTTGGTGAACAAGTATTTGACTCAATAAATATGAAGTAATGACTCAAATTGATTCGAGAAATTAGAAAACCTAATTTGATTGAAAGTTGGAAGTTTATTTATTTTGTACTAATTGAGAGTAGAAAACATATTTAGAATAGATGTCTTGATATATAATTTTTTTTGGGTAAGTAATTATCTCTATAAATAAATATTAGGGATTAGATTTAGATGAGAAGTTATTCATGGGAATTTCTCTTGTATTCTCTTTTCGATACTAATGAAAATTCTCCTCTTCTACATGATATTTTAAATAGATTTTTTACCTAAAATTTTGGCTTCTATTTTGTTGTGTAATTAATGTACATGTTATTATCTTTTAACCTATGACATATTTGAGCGGCAAACAAACACCTATTTGGATGAGTTTTTTTAATCAAATGAGTTTTGGAATAAATAAATAAAACTAATATTAGCTTCTTCTTCTTCTTCTTCTTTTAATTATTTTAGTGATATTCTTTAAAGATTCATTTATTTCATTCACGTTTAATCCATTAATGAGAAACAAGTGGATGGGGAAATTACAACATTATATTAGCACTAAACACTAGCAAGAGTGACGAAACGTATCTATCAAATGCTAAATTTGCGTCTACATATTTAGATTGAACAAAATGATTTCCACGTGAGACCACCGAGACTTCGTCCTCTTTGAAAATAAGTGTCTACTATCATTGCTGCCACTGCATCACTTTTCTCTCCCCTGCTTTATATATTTAATGTTTTAGATAGTTTTTTACTAGAAAAATTAAAAATATTAATATTTTTCAGTAGCATCTTTTATTGACCGTATATTAAGACTGTCGTACGAAAAAATTACTTACGAGTTAGAAACAGATAGTTATACATTTATATCCATTAACGAGAAATAAGTGGATAAGGAAATTACAACATTATATTAGCACTAAACACTAGCAAGAGTGACGAAACGTATCTATCAAATGCTAAATTTGCGTCTACATATTTAGATTGAACAAAATGATTTCCACGTGAGACCACCGACACTTCGTCCTCTTTGAAAATAAGTGGCTACTATCATTGCTGCCACTGCATCACTTCTCTCTCCCCTGTTTTATACGTTTAATGTTTAGGTAGTTTTTATTGGAAAATTAAAAAAATATTAATATTTTTAGATAGTATTTTTTATTGATCGTATATTAAGACTGTTGTACGGAAGAATTACCCACGTGTTAGAAACAGGTAGTTATACATTTATATGAGCTAGAATGATTTAAGAGTAATTTGTAAAATATTATTATGTCTGATTTAAAAAATTATGTAATTTGTAATAATTTTGATTACAATAGAGAATATTACATTACGGCATGTTTTAACTTAAAATGTTATATGTTAAATCTAAAAATTTAAATAATTGGTAATAGTTTTGGTTACAATTCTAAAATGTTTTGACACTAAACTTTTAGGTTATAATAAGAATATACAATTTATATGATTTATAATGAAATATATAATATTTTCGGTTTCAACCTAAAATATTGTCATGTCCAACCTAACCAATTATACTCTTGATAAATTTTTCATTTACAACTAATTCAGCGAAAAAATTAGCGAAAGGAACTGTCCCCACAAAATATATAATTTGAACCCTAAAGTATGACTTAATTTTATTTTTAGCCCTCTAAGGTTTTTGGTTGTTTGAAATGTTGGGCCACCGACACGGTGGCATTGGTTAAATATGTCTATGAAAGTTTTATTCTGTCAACCATTTTTGGTTAAATTTTTAATAGACTATGTAATTGTTGATGAGAGACGTTAAGATTTAATAATTGATATTAAATAATAACACAATTAGGGTTGTAAATGAGTCGAGTCAAGATCGAATATTGTTGAGTTCAATTGGACAAGTTTAAAACTGAATTCGATTTGACTCAAAAGCTCGCGAGTTTATAATTGTTAAGCTCGACTCAAACTCAAAATAAAAAAAATGAAGCTCGACTCAACTCGAAAACTCGCAGGCTTAAACTTTTCAAGTTTGGATCGAAATAAAAAATTGAAGATCAACTCTAGTTTGAAAAAATTGAACTCGAAAATTCTCAGACATAGCTCGATTGAAACTCAAACTCTAGCTTAATTCAAGTTCAAGTTCAAATTCGAACCTGAACCTTAAGTACATGAAAGCATTATGTTGTCTTTAAAAATAGTAAAGTTCACAAATGGTCCTCCGACTATTAAAAGTTATAAAAGGATCCCTCAACTATAGGGTATTATTTTGTTAAGTCCCCGACTATTAAAAGTTATGAAAGGGTCATCTGACTATTCATATGTTCCAAATTCATTATTTTTCATTAAAACAATTAGTGATCGTCTAACTTGGACGTTAACCTACTAACAGAGATACGATAAAATCATATTTTAATGAAGTTTATTGGCATCGTCATTGCTTTCAAACACTAGCTCGAGATATAATATAAACAGAAAGTTGATCCAAAAAATACAACTCAAAGGGTTATGGTATCAGATTTTATCAAATCTCAATCAACATATTAAGATCCAGCTCAGACGTTGCCAATTTTTAACAAAAAATGACAAGTTTGGAACATATGAATAGTCGAGTGGCCATTTTGTAACTTTTAATAGTCGGGGGACTCAACAAAACAGGATGCTATAGCCGGGAGATCATTTTGTAACTTTTAATAATCGAGAGACTCAAAAAAGCATCGCCCTATAATTGATGAACCATTTGTATACTTTATCCTAAAAAAACAACGTATAAATATAAATATTTTTCCGTTTACACGAGATAGATTGGTGGAGTGTTATTTGTGGATAAATGGAGTGTACTTTGAACCCCATTACTCCATTGCTAGGACTTTTATGACCAAAGTAATATCCCTCACATCAATTATTGATGATACTTATGATGCACATGTCACACCAGAAGAACTTGAACTCTTTACAGAAGCAATCCACAGGTCCCTCAGAAAATATATCCACCTTCACATCAAATCATTACAAGTTTTGTTATTGGATTATTGAGACAGTTGGACGTTTGAATTGCGGACATATTGTAGGTGGGATATCAACGGCATGGATCAACTTCCGAACTATATGAAATTATTGTATAGTGAAATCATAAATGTTTTTAAAGATATGGATAATTTGATGTCCGGCAAGGAAAATCATATCGTGTCCAACTCGCAATAGAAGCGGTTAAAATTTACGTAATGAGCTAAAAAGCTCAGTGTGCTTCTTACGGTATATAAAAACATAAAAATAAATATTTTAGTAAAATCATTTATCAAACATGTTTTAAATACATGAACAATACCTCTGTCCGATCACCAGAATGTGTAGGTTTCCCAGAACCATACACCCACCTGTACACACAGTAAGGACTTACCCTGTGCACAAAGCAGAGGAGCTTACAATAAGGTCTTATTATGTGCACAAAGCAGAGGAGTCTGCAGTAAGGGCTTACCCTGAGTACAAAGCAAATGAGCATGCAGTAAGGATTTACCCTGAGCACAAAGCCGAGGAGCCCGCGGAAAGTGGTAAGGTCTTACCCTTGCACATAGCAGAGGAGTCTGTAGAAACGGTAAGGTCTTACAAGTCATAGACTAGGCCTGAAATACTTTCTCGAACAATACCCCCAATGACAGTAATAAACTTGTATGTATTTGAGTGAAAACTATAATTAATCCATTAAAACATGATAATGTTTCATGCTTGGAAATCATATACAAAAATACGGTAATAAAAAATCAAATCAGTAATATATGGTAAATCAGATGTCGGATAAGCAGTATTCAGAAATCAGGTATCATGTCGTAAAAATATTCAGAATTATCACAAATCTGAAACAGTTCAAATGGATAGTTTAAAACAGTAATGTAACACCATCAGGAAACACACCTGTATCGATCTAAGTTTGATAGGGAAACCTACTACTGATTCTATCTACCACGATCAGGGGCAGTGCTAGATTCTACGAATCGGAAAATCCGTATCGGAATCCTAATATGAATAATATTAACCTTTATTTAAATAATTTACGAAAACCTATAGGTAACCCTCGTAGAACGTGGATCGAACGAATCTGACGGACAAAAAAAACCAGACCTAACTAACCCTCGATCATGTGAAACACAAATACCTTCATAAAAATATCTTCTTAGATCAATTCCATAACCAAATCTCAAATAAATAAGCAAAAATACTAAAAATAATAAGCATTTTCATATTAACGAGCTCAATTCGGGGCTTTTGGGTCAGAATTTGGCAAAACTGACTTCAGAATCGGACTCAGGATGTCAAAAAAATAAATATGACTTTTCAAAAAAATTGACTTTTTGGTCAAAGTCAACGGTCAACGGTCAACGTTGGAACGGATCGGGTCGGGTCGGGTCATTTCTAAGCATTCCACCAGGCGGTGGACTTTCCCCATGCGCAGGGGCGACGTGTGGGGCACGTGCAGGGCTGTAGAGGGTCGGAAAAATTCTAAAAAAATTCGTCAGTACGTTTTAAGGGGTTTTGAGACACTTACCAACCTCGGTTCACAAGGTGAACGACAGAGAGCTTGATTTTGAAATGTCGGAAACTTGATATTCCTCAGCCCCTAACACGCAGGCGACAACGGAGATAAGAAGGACACCGGTGGACTCAGGACAATGCAAGGAACACGATGATGCGGGAGGTGTCGAAAACGGAGCAACGATCGGTAACGAAACAATGATCAAAGTTTTGTTTCTAAAAGAGGAAAATATTTAAAGAGAAAAAAATAAATTAACCTATTCCCCTGATTTTGGGTTATATAAACCCTAAAAAAGAAAATGGAAAAATCATGACATAGATCCTTCATCTTTAATTGTTTTCTGAATTTGAATTTAAATTTAATCAAAATTTCATTTTGGTCCCCGAATTAAATCAAAATTCAATTTAATCCTCAATTTTTTAAGAGAATTTTAGGGTCTATTTTGGGGTGTGACATTACTTATTTTATTTCTTGTATTCATCTTAAAATTTTATTTATGTTTATCTTATATAAAAATTTTATATTAATATAAATATATATGTTATATATAGTTTCTTTGTTGGTTCAGCTTTTCTATATTGCGGGTAAAGTATATTTTTTTCTCTTTTTAAGTTCAGAGAAGTTTTTAACTAAATATTTTACTTAGCCCTTGACTACTTAATTTTATTAATAAATATCTTATTTGTCAAAAAAATATGGAGCTACTCACAAAAATAATTTTAGGTCCACCGTTACGTTCCTATCTAGGGAAGATTGTTGATGAATCCACTTAGGTCCTGCAGAAGAACAATTCTCAGGGTGCTCGATTTTCAATGACCCTTCTGCCACAACGGTTAACCTCCGCGACATATTTAGAAATATTTTTTAGGATTAAAATATAAATATTAATAATAGAAAATTTTCGTAAAAAGTACACACAAATAAATTTCATATAAAGTAGATACAAATAGAATTTTAAGGTAGATATCAATAATAAAATGAGTAATTAATATAAATAAATTATGTTCCCAGGATAAACATGTGCCTACCTTAAACAAACCTTGCATCCACCGCCGATTAAAAGAGCCTATAAATAAAGCAACTCGTAGATCCATCTGAATCACACCAAACTTAAAAGAGCCTTTTAAGCATACGCTAAAGAAATGTCTTCTCAAGTTTCTGCAAATCTTGTTCCATCTCAAGCTGTTAACATGTCCAAGGAGAATCGCCATTTGGCCGATTTTATTCCCAACTTTTAGGGGGAAATTTCCCTCTCTTCTCCTTCTGAAATGGTATGTTCCTACTTGTGAATACCTCTTTTAGTATGTGTATGACACATGGGAACGAGCACTTTGAACTTAACTGAAAGCTTTTCATGCTTCAACAGGATATGGATGCTGGAACTCAACATGAGTACCAAGAATTGAAGCAAAAAGTGAGGAGAATGTTGGTGAAAAGCATGGACAAACCATCCCGAAAGGTGCACATAATCGATGCGGTCCAACGCTTAGGCGTGGCTTATCATTTCAAAAAGAGATTGAAGACGCCCTGCAAATTATATACCAAACTTATGGAACTTTTTAAAACCAATATTCATACAAAGGGTAATATATATGGAACTTATGGAATTCAAAATTTGCTTACTGATTGACTAGATACATTCAATAAGTTCAAAGATGAGAATGGAAAGTTCAAAGAATCCTTAATCAGTGACATTAAAGGCATGTTGGAGTTCTATGAAGCTGCACACTTTCAACTGCTGGGAGAAAGTATGTTAGAAGAAGCTCTTTCTTTCACCACATTTCATCTAAAGTTGGCAGAAACAATGGTGGATTATCCTCTCTCCTTACAGATCGCCGGTGCTCTAAATCGACCGCTACACGCTTACCTAGACTGGTTGGTAGGAGCTACATTTCCATATATGAAGGATATGGTAACCAAGATCAAAACTTAATGAAATTCGCAAAGTTGGATTTCAAAATGGTACAACATTTGCACAAGCAGGAGTTAAAGGAGATTAACAGGTATCAATAGTGCTAAAGGTTTTGATCCTTATTCAACAGATAAACATAAATTTTCAGTTTTTCCCTTTATTTCAGGTGGTGGAAAGATTTAGATGTAGCGACCAATTTTCCTTTCATACGAGATAGATTGGTGGAGTGTTATTTGTGGATAAATGGAGTGTACTTTGAACCCCATTACTCCATTGCTAGAACTTTTATGACCAAAGTAATATCCCTCACATCAATAATGGATGATACTTATGATGCATATGGCACACCAGAAGAACTTGAACTCTTTACAAAAGCAATCCACAGGTCACTCAGAACATATATCCACCTTCACATCAAATCATTACAAGTTTTGTTGACATATCGTTGACATATTGCAGGTGGGATATCAACTGCACGGATCAACTTCCGGACTACATGAAATTGTTGTATCGTGAAATCTTAAATGTTTTTTAAGATATGAATGATTTGATGTCCGAACAAGGAAAATCATACCGTGTCCCGCTCGCAATTGAAGCGGTATATATAATCAAACTCTTTCTTTTTCTTTCGCATCAAGAAATGTACTTAATTTAAGATGGTTTTGCTAATTTCGTGTTTGTTTGTATATTAATAGATGAAACAAGTGTGTGAAGCCTACTATACTGAGGCCAAATGGCTCCATGAAAAATACATGCCAAAAGTGGAGGAGTATTTGTCTGTTGCATTTGTTTCTTGTTGCTATCCGATGCTTACAATTGTATCTTTCGTTGGCATGGAAGATAGCATAACAAAAGAGACATTCATTTGGGGTGTAAATCACGTATTTTCTATCCATCCATTTTTTGGGGTGCAACAATGTTCTTCTATTAAGTATGTTAGGGTAGAGTACACAAATGGTTCTCCGACTATAGGATACTAATTTAATAAGTTCATCGACTATTAAAAGTTATAAAATGATCTCCTGATTATAGGGAGTTGTTATTTTTAGTCCATCAACTAGTAAAAATTATAAAATGATCACTTGACTATTCATTATATTTCCAAACTCGTCCTTTATTTTGGATCGGCGGGTGTTGATCACATTGGAAAGCATTCATAATGAAAAAGAGTGTTCTCAATAAATCATAGACGAATATAGGGGCGGAACTTCATGGGGCCAACCAATTATTTTTTAAATATTAATTAATATTGAATAAAATATATATTTTTAAAAAATAAATAAAGAAAAATTTATCAGACCTCCCTTAATTTAAAAAAAAAACTGTATTTATGAAAAATTAAAAATATTTTAACTCCTATTATTATAAATTTCTAGTTCCGCTCCTAGAGGAATGCAAATGCACGAAGATAGACCAAGGAAAGACAAAAGATTCAAAGGGGCAACTTGCCCCCACATTCGTTTTATTAAAATACTTAAGCTTATGTTGTTTTAATTTGAGAAATTAATGAGATATTATCCTAAATAGCGGAATTGTAGTCTCAAATAATTTTTTTGGACAAAGTGATATCTTTCTAAAATAAATTCGATTGAACCAAATCGTTTTCCGGAGTCATGTTAGGTTTCATTGTTCACTCGTTTAAAAATTAAGCAAAGGATCATCTCTTAAATTTATAGTTAAATTTGAAAATACCAACATTTATACAACATATAATTGAGTAGGTGATGATATTGGACGTTTTGGAGTGCTCATCATTTCTTACACGAAATCGACTCCAAAATTCAAATTTGATAAATCTTTAGTTACACATATATCGTAAAATTGTCTTTAAAATGGGATTTTTTAAACCTTTCTTTTAAAATCGAGTTTTTAAATAACTTCCTAAAGTAATCAAGAATTGGATCCCAAAGGTTAAGGACGATTACAACAGAATGTTTAATAAAATTCAATTGGACTGGAAAAAGTACTTTTTAAAATTTAAAATTATTCAAATTGTTTGAGTTATGTATGTTTGCTAGGATCCAACACATCTTTCTCTTTTAAAATAGGATAAATTACATAACTGGTTACTTCCGTTTAAATTATATACACTTTTTCTTATTAAATTCAAATGATATAATATTTGATCACTTTTATTTTTATTTTATTAAGATGTAGTTATGTTTGTATTTATTTAATTAAGATATGACCATTTATCTTAAAACAGTTAAATAAAAGTGATCACATCTTAATAAATAAAAACGAAATTGACTAAATAGTATATTTTTTAATTTATTGAAAAAAATTACAAAACTAAAACAAAAATGATGGATCACGTAGTTTACTCTTTAAAACAAGTGGTTTTTATTATTAGTGTTACTGCCGCTTTGTTTTATTTATTAAATCAATATACCACATCGGTTAGTTCACCTCTTTTGTGTGGACAGTTTCTTTCGGTGACCCCCCAGGGGCGGATCTCCATGGAGCCCGGGGTATTCCGGGCAACCCCTCATCTAGGGGTGGACCTCTATGGTGCCCGGGTATCCCAAGCAACCCCTCCATAAATGCCACCCCTGAAGCTCTTGCAACCCCTGACGAAGGCTCCTAGGTCGCCTCTGGTGACCCCCTTGTGGCTTTCATAATATTGAAAATCAGCTTTCTAACACGTTCAAAAGAAGGAGAATTCAAGTTAATTTACATTTTAGCTCTTAAAAGTTTTTATTAAATATGACCATGAAAGTTTTATTCCGTCGCATTACTAACAAAAAGATAGGAACTTGTTACACAATGTAAAACGCTTTTAGTTTTACATAGATGTAGGATCGTTGGATGAATAAAAGTAGATGATTGAGATTAAAAATAGGAAATGAGAAGATAAAAAATGAGTCAATCTCAACAATCTATCATTACTCATCCAATGGTCCTAAATCTGTGTAAAATTAAAAAGTTTTATATTGTGTAAGTGTATTATAACCTTTAAAAAATTATATGATCTTTCCTATCACTTAATAAGTCACATAAAGGGATAAATTTGAAATAAACTATACTTTAAGGGTTAGTCTAGGAAAATATTTAAAACATTTGACATTATTTTTTCCCTCAATTTTTGCCATACACTATCATTATTTTACTAATATTATTTTATTATTATTAATTAGAGTTTATTATTAATTATTTTATTATTTTGTTATTACTTTTATTTTATTAGTTATTATTACTATTAATTTTGAGTTTCTATTATTCACTTTTTTTTAGATCTCTTGATTATCTGCTTTCTTTCGTTTCTTTTGAACTAAAGCTATTTCCCTAAGCTTAAATCTGCTGTGTTTTCAAAGGAAGTGATTTTTGGAAGCTGATTTTCATTCGATATGCGCGGAAAACTTTGGTTGACCTGTGTTTGCCGTTAAGACTAATTCTTTCCAGTATTTGTTTTCGGTCCCTTTGATCTGGGTTTTGTTGAGTTTAGTTCGAAATTTTAAAATTCCATTTACAGTACCAAGTCAGATCCGTGGATAACATCTTCTGAAAGATTTAATCGCTCGTTTGATTTAAGTATCAAAATTTCAGCTTCCTCTTCTCTTCCACCCACTCCGCCTCTTTGCACGCCACCACCATCGCCGCTTCTCTCTAGCTATTGAGAGGCCTCATCCTGTCCATTAGATACCTCACGCTCCTCCCCTAGTGACAAGGCTTCCGCCTTTTCTGGCTGCCGGAAGCACCCATTGTTGAAGAGATCTCTCTTCGTTGAATTCACCGAGCTGTTTCCATACCTTTGAGAAGAAATTAGGTTCCGATCTTTTTTTGGTTTTCAATTTTGATTCAGATTTACGCTCTAATCTGAATTTCATCGTCTTATGAGTTGCTATATAGGCTCAATCTCCATCACGTTTGCTTGATCTATATCGGATTTAGGTTTAAATCCAAGATTTTAGTGTGTTTGGTTTAATGCAGAAATCAGAAAATTTTCCTTTATCTGAACTCTCTTCCAATATTCGTTGGAGTTGCTTGTGCTTTTTACTTTTTGTATCTTGCAGGTGAACGTTACCGATAACTACATTCCATCAACGAGCAAAACCTTCACCGGAAAACAATCATACCGGAAAATAGCAATTACTTCTTACTTGCCGACCAGGTACATATAGTGGTCGGCCAAGTATTTAAACTTGCTATATTAGTGTTTTACGCAATTTACCTTATAATTGTTAATAAATTTACTTATTATCATTATTAACCTAATTACTAGCAATAAACTTAGTATTCAATTCAAATTTTTCAACAAAAAAAAGTTTTGAAATTGATATCATTTTATATATATTAACAATCATTTTTATTCTTTTCCCCCCTTTTTTAACATTAGGGCTTTTAACAATTAAATATATTCATAAATATTTACGCCGCATAATAATAAAAATTAATATTATTCTATTTTCTCCCTTTTAACACTAGGCTTTTAGCATTAATAACAATAGTATTATATAAATTAAAATCCTATTATAGTAACCAACTAGGCTTCTTAGTACCCCTCAATTCTCTAGCGTTTTATTGGTGCATTTTCTGTCTTCTTTGGATTCATTTTTCATAGTTCCTCATAGCTTCGGCTATAGATGATTACTTGAGGTCATGTCCTTTTAGATCTCATAGGGCGTATAAGGGGCGGGCTCGACAGAGTGGTGTCAAGGAGACTAGACTTAGAGTTTGTACGTTGAATGTAGGCACTTTAAATGCTAGGCTATTGGAGCTGATCGACGTACTAAGTAATAGGAAAATAGATTTTGCATGTATTCAAGAGACTAGGTGGAAAGGGGCTCGCGCCAAAGAGTGTAATGGGTACAAGTTGTGGTATTCAGGCATAGATAACGCTAGAAATGGGGTGGGTATCTTGGTATCCTTTAGGCTCAAGGAAAATGTAGTTGAAGTTTGTAGATACCGTGATAGGATCATGATGATTAAGGTTATTATAGAAGCGGAAGTGATGAATGTCCTTTCAGTGTACGCACCACACGTTGGCCTAGGGAAAGAGGATAAATGTTGCTTCTGGGATTTGTTAGATGATGTACTTAGGAGCATTCCGGAGGACCAAAGAGTTTTCATAGGGGGAGACTTCAATGGCCATATAGGTAGTGAAATCGACGGGTATGACAGAGTTCATGGGGGTTTCGGTTTTAGTGGTAGGAACGAGGAGGGGCGTACGTTGCTTGAATTTGCTACTGCACACGATATGGTGGTCACTAACTCCTTCTTTAACAAGAGAGATCTGAACTTGATTACGTTCCATAACGGGGGACATTGTACCCAAATCGACTACATCTTGGTTCGAAATCGGGATCGATGGGCTTGCATTGACTGTAAGGTTTTCCCAGAAGAAGCATGTGCATCATAACACAGATTGTTGGTTTTGGTGTTCCGCATACGCCACGTGCGGAGCACTCACAGGAGGGCTAAACTAGATAAACCTAGGATCCTTTGGAAGAACTTACATGGAGCGACAGCTGATGACTTTAGGAGTAAGGTTTTGTCTCATAAAGGTTTTGGAACTACAAACTCAAATAATACAGATATGTTATAGAACACTATGGCAAATTCCATCAGAGAGGTGGGAAA